TCAGGGGCTTCTTCCGCTGATAATGTGTGCTATTGAGAGACATCCAGATAGCAGCACTCGAGATTCATTGACACACACTCTTCAATTTGATTAAACGTCCATATAAACAGCAGAGGCGAATTATAATGGATGTATGTTACTATTCAAAGAATCACATTTTAGTATCCAATAGCTAAGTTTTGTTATGGTACTAAATTCTTTCAGCTCTTTTCAGGCATGTGTTAGCCTCGCTAAAAATGTTGGGGAGATGAGAACAGAAACAGAATTACTCCCCCAGTGCTGGGAACAAGTGAGTTTCCGTACTGATTTTTTATTGTCTTTTCTCAATTATATCTGCCATAGCCTGATATCGGTCTTTTCTTTTTTGGTTTTCTAAATTCAGATAAACCACATGTATGAGGAGCGTAGATTGTTGGTTGCTCAATCATGTGGAGAGCTTGCTGAATTCTTCGGACCTGGGATTCGCGACTATCTTATTTTATCTATTGTGTAACAACTAGTAGAAGATCTTGCAACAGTTGTTCGAGAAGCTGCTGCACACAATCTGGCCTTGCTGCTTCCACTCTTTCATCATATGGATAAATATTTCAAGGTCAGCTTCATTAAATATGCTTCGAGGCAATCATGGAGAAGAAATTCTGACTTGAGAGAATTGGCTGCAGTATAAACTCTAGAGCAGGTTGATGACCCATGGTCTAGGGAATGGAGCCTTTTGAGTTTTGCCCTTAGCATAATGTCATATCATGACTTGAAAGACAGTATAATATATATAGAAAGGTTCTTCAGTGCCTTATTTGTTTATTGATAGGTTGAAGAGTTGATGTTCCAATTGGCCTGTGATCCATCTGGAGTGGTGGTTGAAACAACACTAAAAGAACTACTTCCTGCAATAATAAATTGGGGAAACAAGTTAGACCATATTTTGAGAGTTCTACTCTCCCATATCTTAGGCTCTGCTCAGGTAACATTTTGCCTTTTCAATTCTCATTTATGATTTACCAGCCGATACTACCACATTTCCAGTTTGGAATGCTTACGTTTCAACATCATTCCCCCTATATTTTCAGCGTTGCCCACCTCTTTCTGGAGTTGAAGGGTCTGTGGAGTCTCACCTTCTAGTTTTAGGTGAACAAGAGCGCTGGAATCTTGATGTTTTGTTAAGAATGCTAGCTGAATTGCTTCCTTTTGTTAATCAGAAAGCAATTGAGACTTGCCCATTTTCCTCTGTTTCGGAATCTAATGGGACAATATTTTCCAGGTCTGTACTTGAACTATATGCGGGGTAAAACACTTGCTCTCTCTTTGTTATTTTTCAGAGGCTTGCATTTCCTTTTATATCTGACTTTTGGATGAGTATATGGATAATATTTGATGGCTTAGTTATGAGCAGATTTGATGTTCATAGATTTTAATATTCTACTAGGGGACATGTTGAATGGTCTGCATTTGAATGGGTGCATGTCGATTGCTTTTCTTGTTTGCTACAGCTGGCTTGCTCCTTACCACAGAAAGAAGATAAATTAAGAAACCGGATTACAAAGGTTTTTTGTCGGTAGTGCATTTTTAATGGGACCTTCTGCTTCCATTGCTTGTTTATTGAAAATAATGTTTTTGTTTTTGTTTCCAATCTATATCACTAATGCAGTTTTTGTTGGCCGTTTCTGAATGTTTCGGAGATTCTTATTTGACCCACATAATGCTACCTGTATTCCTGGTAGCAATTGGGGATGAAGCTGATTTGACGTTCTTCCCTCCCAATGTTCATTCAAGAATCAAAGGTATTAGATCCATTGAATCTTGTTGACCTTAATCATTGCATATTCTTTAACTGTTTCTTGGTTGCAGGTTTGAGACCAAGAACAGCTGTGGCTGAGAGACTTACTATTCTAGGCATCCTGCTGCTTCTGTTGGCGGGTGTTCTAGGATCTCCTGGTAAGCATCAACAATTAGCCGACTACTTGAGAAAGCTGCTAGGGAAGGTGCCACCAAAGAGAGCCGTTCTGCAACACAGAACTTGAATATTATTAATGCTGCCCGCTTCCTTTGGTTTGTAATTGCAACAACGTTTTTCCTAATTATTTGGTATTTATTGTTAAGCATTTAACAAAGAATATTCTTCAATAATGCAACACTTTTGAAGAACATCATGGCATGATATTTAATATCTTGTGGGAAATGGTTGTAAGCTCTAATATAGAAATGAAGATCAGTGCTGCCAATATACTCAAAGTCATTGTAAGTTTTTCTTTCCTTTGAAATAAACATTTCCTGCTATATCTGATAATAAGATATTGACTTTGTACATTTGACAGGTTCCATATATTGATGCAAAAGTTGCATCGACGCATGTTCTCCCTTCCTTGATCATCCTTGGCTCTGACCAAAACCTGAATGTGAAGTACGCAAGCATAGATGCATTCGGAGCTGTGGCGCAGCATTTTAAAAATGATATGGTACAATTTTTTCCTGATTCATGCTGGTACCGTTCCCTTGTATTGTTCTTTCTAACTCATTATGTTGCAGATTGTTGATAAAATACGTGTTCAAATGGATGCTTTTCTCGAAGATGGATCCCTCGAAGCAACTATTGCTGTTGTCCGTTCATTAGTGGTAGCTGTTCCACATACAACGGAGAGACTTAGGGATTATATCCTTTGACTTTCATGTCGGAACCAATTTTAGAAATTTGTTCTTTGAACTATGCATTTTGATTTAGCCACTCGTGGTTGCCACTGTTCATTTATTGTGAGAACTGTGAACCCATTGTCTCCTTAACATGATTTACATCTTTTATCCAAGATTTTCCAACTGACAAGCACACCTGTTTCTTCAACGGATGTGATGCGTCGTCGGCAGAGAGCTAATGCATTTTGTGAAGCTATTCGTGCTCTGGATGCTACAGATTTGCTTCTCTTAGTTATTGGATGCACCTTTTCTTCCCAAATTGTTCTCTGTTATTTCCTTGTTGTCGTCGAAAAAAGAAAGGTGAGTGGAAATTCACTTGATAGTGATTCACTTCCTTATTTTTCTTGTTTTCTCCGTTATTTTCTTCTAGTTCTTCGTGATTCATTTCCACACTGGACAAACATCAAAGCCTTCGTACAGTTATGTTTTTTGGACGCATAAACTCTTGTGTGCCTATGAACTTTCCCCAGTTCTCTAAAATATTGCTGCTTTTAATTTGTAATAGTTTATTTACCATTTCCTCCGGAACGGTTCATCTTTGTACCTTGATATTTGCATCTAAATAAGGTCCAACGTAATTTTGGTGCTTACCATTTCCAACGCAATTTCCTCCTCCCTACCCTACAAAAAGATCCTGATGCACAAGATCCAGCACACAAAGCAGCCCTTGAAATAATATTGAAAGAAAGGTCAGGTGGGACTTTTGAGGCTGATAATTATTTTTCATTATAATCATCTCTAAACTGATGTATTCTTTGGATGGTTGGTTTGGTTTGCATCACAGTTGCGAACTACATTCATTAGGGACTGAAACGAAACTTTCCTTGCAATTAGAGGACTCGTTATGTAAAGTTTTTTGGACTCGGTTATTCTCAAGAGGCAAACTATCTCATCCGCTTTTTGTGGACTAGAATGTTGTGATGATCAGTGAATTCGATGTTCTATCTCAACTTTAGAAGTTTATGCTCGTGGAAAACATAAATCTTTGTGTTGAATGCTAAGAAAACTCTTTGACAAGTGAGCTAAACTTAGATTTTAATTAGTATGCTGTTCATGTTAAATTTTGAAGATGACTTTGTTAGAAAAAAAATAGTTATGAACGAGAAACCGACCTCGATGATAACACAATAAAATATCATCATACATTTGTTTGTTAATTATGTGTGGTTCTGAATTTAAAATTAATTATTATTTTATTTTATATTTTAAAATTTCGTGTCTATTTTCATTTATAATTTATGATATTTAAAAAAATAAAGATTATAAAATGACATTAACTATTTATATACTTTAAAGTGTGCTTGGGAATTCAAATTAAAAGGAATCAAAGTGCTTTTTTGGTGCATTACAATTACTGATGTTAGTGGCGGCTTTTTTTTACCCATATATATTATTGTTAACGATTAAATATTAAAATAATATTTATTCTTATTGTTTATCAAAAATATATTTTTCTAAAGTACGTATGTCTTTAATCTAGGAGAAAAGAAAAATTATGAGAAAAGCTAAATAATATTTGTCAAAAAAAATCATCATAGTATATAACAAAGACTTGTTAACACAAATTTAAACAAGATAAATCAATTGTACATATAAATGATTTTATTTTCGACTATTCAATGAATATATATTAAGATGACATATTTACACTTTGCTATTAATGTTTTTTTTAGGTAAGAAAAGTGCTATCCCTGTCATCCTCCTCTTAGCTAATGGAAATGCCACAGGGCTTCACTTAAAGAATTTTCAAATCCCAATGGTACTAATGTGGACATTTTGTTCTAGAAAGTAAGTTACTCTTTGTTCACTATCTATGTTCAAACATATTTAAATATTTTAGGGCGTTATTGGAACAACTTTTAGACTCTCCACTGCTAATGGATGGATGTTGATTGTCATCGTAGATAGGCACCACCAAATTCCAACAATGAGTAATGATAAATATGGATGGGGAAAAGAAATACCGAGGACGGTCCTATTTTCTAAAAGTTTTAATTTTTTTTATAGTATAGATAATTTCGATAGTCTATTAATGATTTAGCTTCCTATCTTTTAAATGATGACATCTAAGAATCAAACATATTTTCAACCTTAAACCTCCCTAACACTTGACTTATGATAGTCTAACACCCGTAAGTCCGTGTAAAATGAAAATTTTGAATAATTAAGAATATAATGTTGATGTTGATGATGATGATGATTATTATTAGTGTATGTTATTTAAATTCTTGATTTTTTAAAAGTTTCAACAGTTGCCTTCCAACTCCTATAAATTGGGCCAAAGCTAATCCCCAAATTGCATCAACACCATTTTAACTTCACTGTTTTCGTCGCAAGTAATAAAATAAAAAACATGCACAAGTTTTCCTTTGTTTCCTATTGTGTGGTGACACTGGTGGCCGTGGTGCTGTTTTCGGGAGAAACTCGAACGGCGGAGGCAGTGACATGTGATGTCTCGGAGCTCAGCCCATGCATGGCGGCAATCACGTCGCCGAAGCCTCCAACGACGACTTGTTGCAGCAAGCTGAAGGAGCAGAGGCCATGCTTTTGCCAGTACCTTAAGAACCCAACCATTAAACAGCTTGTTGACTCTCCTAAAGCTAAAAGGATTGCTAGCACCTGTGGTGTTGAATATCCTCAGTGTTAAAAAATTAGTTTTGCATTAAGCAGAATTAGTGTGTTATTACTGTGGGTTTAAGCTGGATTAAACTCATAATGGATTAGTGTTTACATGTGCTCTGATGAACTATGATTCATCCATATATTTGAAGTTGGTGCTTGTAACGTATTATTACATGCAAATAAATAAGTAGTGAATTAAAATAATTATCATATTATATTGATAGATATATTTTTTTGTATTTATTCTCTATATTTTGTATTAATTTTCTATATCTTTTTTATTTTCGAATTAATATTTATATATTTTTATCCAAATTATACATTAACTTAACTTCTTATATACATTTTGATAGCTAAATTTAGTTTTATCGTCATTTTTTTTAATGTTATATGTGAAAAAAAAGTAAGTTTGGATACCAAAATATATGATAGAAGTCAAATTTTTATCAAAATAAATACAAGTACTGATTTAAATGTTTTGAAAATTTTAAATACTAAATTGAAGAAAAAAAATCTTAATATCAAATAAAATATTAAACTAAGTTTAGATTAAAAAAAGTATATTTACCCTTTTAAATAAAATAAAATGGGCAACTAATAATATGAAAAGGGGCAACGACAATAGAAAAAGAAGGGGGCGTTGATAGGTAGGATTAGGGGTTTGACCGAAAGAAAAAGGAGACGATAAGATGTTTTTCTTTATTACATCTAAAATGCATTATTGTTTTTTTTTTTGATATGCATTATTGTTTTTCTAAAATCATTATTGTTCTTTTTTTTACTAAAAGTAGAGAAGAAAAAGAGAGATAGTAAATAAAGAAAAAAGACATAATATTCAAAAAGCAAAAACTTTTATCGATATAAAGAAAAGGGTTAAATGATGAATAAGTTGATTCAAAACTAAGAAAAAAAATATGCGAAAAGGAAAGGAAATATTCAAGGGTCTACTTTGGTGTTTTCACTAAAGAAATACTTTTATTTGAATTTTATCAAATTAATAAGTTTAATATGTTTAGATGATTATAAGTATAACAATATATTTTGCAGACACAACCACTTGAATAAAAATAATCTAAAAAGAACAACATTCTCTTTTACGATTCTATCACTAAAACTACTCAATAAATACTTTTAATTAATATATTAAAAATAATATTTTTATTAATAAAATGTATCATATAATTGAAAGACGTACTAATAAAAATATCTTTTGCGAACCAACAATCAGTTGGTCTAGTGGGATGAATAACTAAATTCCTTAAGCAAAGGTCAAAGATTTGAACTCTGACGTTTGCGAATGGAGCAAACTGGATTGGAATGATCGTCCTTGCCTCTGCAATACCTGATCTGAATTAATCGGTCAATAGATCAAATATCAATAATTAATTCAAAAATATCTTTCGAGAGTTAAAATAAAATAAAATGTGTTTTATTGATTATGTCTCTGATGAATTCTTCTTTAATTAGATTTTTTGTAATATTAAATTTAAATTTTTTGTGTGTAAACATTGACAATTATCTAACCTGATTCTTTTTCATATCAAATAAAAGTTCTAAAAACAATTAAATTTAAAATATCACTTATATTGTTACTGTTTAATTTATAATAATATTTAAAAAGTATAAAATTAGTGTAATAATAATAATATTAAAAATCTATAGTAAATATGGAAAATATATATTTTAATTGATTATATTTAATCCTTACAGAATAAAATAATTTTCTAGAAAACAAATTTATCATAAATCCAAACAAAACACAGATAGGCAAAGCTGTAACATAGAAAGCAAAAGACACATACATTACATGTCATGTGTCGAAGTCGCCGTCAGGCGACCCTTCCTATACCACGCGCTCACGCGGCCCTTTTCCTTTTCTCTTACTACACAAATGAGATGAGTCCCACACGGCTCGAAACATCAGAAAACCATAGGATGAGATTCCTCTAGCAGTTTCGTTTTGTTACCACGGTTCACGGCTGTTCACATTCCACGCGCCTCCCCTTCAATCCACGCGCCACCTCTCTCCATTTCAATTCCTATCTTCTTCTTTTTCCCTGTGAAAGAAAGATCTGAATAAAGGAGATTCGATGGTAGAGACTAGTTGAGGTTTGGAGGTGGCGAGTACATTTGTTTTTTGTAATTTAATGAAAGAGGGACATCTACTGATGCTGAGAAGAAGATGGGAGGAGTCACGTCGTCAATCGCCTCGAAATTCGCTTTCTTCCCGCCAAATCCCCCGTCGTACACAGTCGTAGAGGACGGGTCATGCGTTGGTCGCCTGTATATACCGGAGGTACAGAGGAGGGATGATGTCGACGTCTTGAATCTACGCACCCGCCGAGGAAACGACATCGTAGCTGTCCATATAAGGCATCCCAAAGCTACCGCTACTCTCTTGTATTCTCATGGAAATGCCGCTGATTTGGGACAAATGTTTGAGCTTTACGCCGAGTTGTGTAATCGCCTTCGAGTTAATCTTATGGGGTACTTTTTTTTCTTTTATAGAAATTCTGGTTACATAATAGGTAGTACTTTTTGTTTCCTTTTAAAACATGATCTTCTTTCTTGGTTAGTCTTAGGTTTTAACTATTTTGCTTAAATTAAAGTTGTTTTAGCTTAGTGGAAGTGATTACTCGTGGCTTTGGATTTGCTTAATTTGGTATGTCTTCTTGGGATTTTCAGGTTTTATGAGTGTTCAGTGATTTTTTTTCTTCTATTTATTATATTTTTAAACAAAGTTTTAATTGTTTTATTTACTGTACTAGTTGTAAGACTGAACTTTCTTGATTCGGCTGTCTGATTGAGATGATAGTTTCACGGTGAATGTTAGGAGAAGAGAGATTTTAGGCTGGCAGTCAGTAAAAGTTGGGGTTGGCTCTTGTTAACCATATCATATATTGCCTTTAATATTACTAAATGGATCATATACATGTGAATAATAACGATGAGTGTATTGAGAGTAATGGACTCGATCCTAACCTGTGAAAATTATGCTGATTCTGATACATGCTATATTGTGAGATTAGTGGTGGTGGTTTTGCTTTAACTGGCTTCATTTCCACTGTACTAAAGAGAGAAGGAAGGAGAAAGAATAGACTTGGACGTTGTTGTTAAGTTAGGCGTTCGGAGGTTTGTTGTTGTTGTTGTTATTCTTGCTTTACTGTAGCTTCTGCATTGTTAAAATCTTAAGCCATTTATTTATTTATTTTAACTGGTTCTGCATTGTTGTTAACTTCATTCTCCTGTTCTTAAGGCATTTATTTATTTATTGTTAAAGGCTTATCCAAAAATAATAAGTAATACTTCAATCAAGTTTTTCTTATATTTATTTATTTTACTAAACTGTTCCTGATATAACTCATTTTCCCCCCTAGGTATGATTACTCTGGCTACGGACAGTCGACTGGAAAGGTTGGTCACCTGGTTTTTCCCTTTTCTCAGTTGCTAATATAGGGAGCAAACTCTTACACATATTTACTATAGCAATTTAACTATCAATGTGGGCACTTTAAACGGTTAAATATTTTACTAAGCCGCTGGTGTGATGGTGAAGGGCTTGTATTGATATTTTCTATGTTCAGTGTGATTCAGAATCTATAAATTTTCTTTGCAGCCATGTTATTTCTGATTTCTTGTCTGTAAATTATTATGATATTAGTACTGCTTGATAGGAACATGTTATTCTAATTGTCACTTACTTTTATTTGAAACAGCCAACCGAGTGTAATACATATGCAGACATAGATGCAGCATATATGTGCCTTAAGGAACGGTATGGAGTTAAAGATGAAGATTTAATATTATATGGACAGTCAGTTGGTAGTGGACCTACTGTCGATCTTGCTTCTCGTTTGCCAAACTTGAGAGGAGTTGTTCTACATAGCCCGATTTTGTCTGGCATGAGAGTATTGTACCCAGTCAAAAGGACCTACTGGTTTGACATTTATAAGGTAAGTCTCTCTTCTTTACCCTATTTCTGTTTTTCTTGTTTTTTATCTTGTATGTTGGGTTTTTACCATTCTAATTTTCAGAATATTGACAAAATTGGAGCAGTGAACTGTCAAGTCTTGGTAATTCATGTAAGTATTGTTCTTATTGTTATTACTTTGATGGGATACAGCAACTTTTAGTCTAACTTGACAATTTTTTTCCCAACTTAATCCTTGGACTTTGTTTTGGTCCATATTAATCCATGAACTTGACAACTTTTCCCATTTTAGCTCTTTCGATGATGTGGCACTCTGAGGTTGTAATGCGTGGCGAACACCCAGTGTGCCATATCATTAGGAGGACTAGGAATGGGTCAAAAATCCAAGTTCAATGACCAATGCGGACCCAAAAAAGTTAAGGGACCAAATTGGGTAAAGTAGTCAAGTTCAGGGATCAAAAAAGTAGTGACGAAGCTCGTCTTTTTTCTGTCGGCAGGGGACAGCAGACGACGTTGTTCATTATTCCCATGGAAAACAGCTTTGGGAGCTTTGCAAGAATAAGTACGAGCCTCTGTGGGTAAATGGAGGAGGACATTGCAATCTGGAGATCTACCCAGAATTCATTAGACATCTGAAGAAATTTGTACTATCTTTGAACAAATCAAAAGCAGCTGCAAATGGCTCTGAAAAAATAGTGGTGAGCCCTGAGAATCAGAGCAACAAACCATCCAAGGGTGGAACTTCCGATACTTTCGAATTGAGCGCCGACCTTCCGGAAGTTTCGAGAAACAGTTTGGATAGCCGTCTTGAGAAGTCGAAGAAGTCAAGTAAGCCCGAGAAGTCTCGGATGAGCACAGATCGCGTGGACAGATTTAGGAGAAAAAAGGGCTTGGTTTGGTGATGTGTTTACAACTCGAATAAATACGATGTATGTATCCCATGTATTCCCAGTCCAGTTGGGGAGGTAATTGTACTTGTGTATTTGTAATGTTACATTGGGGTCCGGCATAAGTCATCAGATTTTTGTCATAAATGTTATGATTTTTCAGCCTGTATTTTAAGAAAACAAGTTCGATTAAGTTTTGAAATGTAAGATTATGAATTCTTGTGTAAGAACAGCCTCTGCCTCGATGCTAAATGAAAAGTATTCTGGTGGTTTCTGCCATTGATGTTGAAATCTTTAATTTTTCATCCATATTTCTTAGCAGCCTTTAATTTAGCACTTCTCGTAAACATGATATCATTTGATGCCAAGTTGAAATGAAACCAAGGATAATGTTAAATTCAAAATGACCAGATATTTTTATTTTAAAATTTATGAAATGGTTCTAAAACTTTGATTTTTCGATGATGAATCAAAGTTTTACCCAATATAAATAAACGAGTTGCATTGAAAAATAAAACGAGGGTTAAGCCCAGCTCCGTTTAGAAGCCCAGCAATCGGTGCTTAATTACGGGAAAATCATCCAAACACGTGAAATATCCAAAACCACCAATTCTAACACAGAGCCTCACCTTCGCTCTTCCTTCCATCCTTCTCTGTACCCTTATTATTATTAATTATCTTTTTATTGGATTGAAGCGTCCAAAGTGAAACAGGTGAATTCCTTAATTCTATTATTCACTTCTAGTTTTTATGTATCGGTTTTCATTTTTTTTAGTGTTTCTGCACTTGTGTCTATGTTTTAGATATTTTTTGAGGAATTTAAGTCGCAACAAAAGGCAGTAAGTCTATCTTAGTTACTCTAAAGCTTACTCCTTTTTTCTGGGTACCTCCTGTCTACTTTACTTACTTATCGCTGTTTTTTTCTATTCTGTAGTAATAACTGCTCAATATGAATTCTGGGTTCTAGCTTAAGTTGATTATGGGTAGGAAACTATGTAGAAATCTCAATGAAATGTGTCAAAAAACTGAATTTTGTAAGTCCCTCATTCTTAAATAATGCCCAACGATTTAATCTTTTAGATAAAGGAAGTACAGGTGACAGTTTGCCCCAATACTCTTCTTTATTTTATGATGAATAAATATATTCTGCTACGTTTGTTTTAGGTCAATGTTGCATGCAATCTCTGTTCCGAACACTTGCTTTTGGTATCCAAGAAGCCGATGTTTTGGTCAAAGGAATCGAGGATCAAGAAGACTTTGTTTGCGAGCTTCTTTGGCAGATAATAATGGTGGATTTAAAGTGGAGTATACACCCTGGTTGATTGTTGGATTGGGTAACCCTGGAATTAAGTATCATGGAACTCGGCACAATGTAACGAATTACAAATTATGATGCTGACAGCTTGTTTTTCTTTTCGTTTATATGGTATTTACATTGTTCTATATATCAGGTTGGTTTTGAAATGATTGATCAAATTTCTCGATCGGAGGGGATTGTTTTGAATACTATACAGTCAAAAGCTCTAATTGGAATAGGTATATATTTTGTATTTGCGTTGCTTAGGGTTTTTATTTGTTTATTTAACTTTTGTCTGGGATTCAGTGTCCTTTGGTCTTTTGTGATTCTCGGTTATGTTTGATGGTTTACGTAGATTTCTTTCGTGATCAGTACAGGTGCCATTGGAGAAGTCCCAATTTTGTTGGCAAAACCTCAGGCATACATGAATTTCAGTGGGGAATCAGTTAGTCGCACATTTTGTTTTTCCCTTTTCCCATATCAATTCTACATAGCAGGCTCTCAGTTATTCATTCACATGTCCCTTCTCACTTGTGGATCCATTTGCAGCTAACATGTAACTGGACACGTACTGCATAGAGTGTTTAATGTTTATGTAGTTCATTGGAGATACTTAGGAAATTCAGTCTAAAACTTATTCAGGACTCGGGACAGTTATTAAAAACTTATCGCTGTACTTTGATGCTCTTTGGTTTGACCTTTTCAGCTAAACATATGGGTTAAATTTCATGCATGTTTGAATTAAAAATGGACATTGATAGATTGTAGTGGTTTATAGGCAGCTAAATAAGCACATGCAATATCACAATGCTAATTCAAGATGCTTATATAAGAATATGTGCCCCTTCATCTTGTAAGCATCTCTTGTCCAGGATCCTTTTTCATTATTTTTTAAATATCATTTTGGTGAATCATTTACACCACTTTATAATCGTTTTTATCTCTAACGATTCCAAACATTTTATTTTTGTTAAGGTTGGGCCTCTTGCTGCCTATTATCAAGTTCCCTTGCGGCACATTTTGTTGGTATGCATTCTTATAACTGAAACTCTTTGTTATTTTTGTTCTGTTTAGGGCACTTTGACTTTGAGCTTTCCAATGTAGGTATATGATGAGATGAGCTTGCCGAATGGTGTTTTGAGGCTTCAGCCGAAAGGAGGACATGGCCATCATAACGGGTATGTTCCATCAGTACTACTAATAGCAAAATCTCTGAGTCTCTGACTCTCTGTTTGCATCAAGATGGATTACTTAAGAAGCCTCTGTTTATATTAGCATAAGAACTTTATGGGGCAATAATAAACTTGTCTAATTCATGAATCTTTACCTTCCTGAGGCAATTTGCTGCTGAAGTTGTTATTCTTTTGCCTCGTTTCTTTCCCTGTGATGAGGAGTTCTGAGTCTGGTTTGTGTAGATATCTTTTTATTTAATCTGCTTGAAATCATTCTGCATATTCATTGGGCTATTTTCATCTTCCATATTTATGTTCTCATGATATGGAATAATAAATATATGTTAAAGTGCAATCTTCCCCTTTCTCCCCACTCAACAAATGGTGATTCAAAAACATTGACTTATGCTTTCTTGTTGCAGAGTGAAGAGTGTGATGGGCCATTTGGATGGCAGTCGTGAGTTTCCTCGGTTATGCATAGGTTGGCTCCTCAAATCACGAATTTTGCTTAACAGTTAAAACATTTGCAAGCACGCATTCTTATGATATGGTGATTCTAAAAGAGCTATTTATGGTCCAGGCATTGGAAATCCACCTGGTGCTATGGACATGAAAGCTTATCTTCTACAGAAGTTCAGTCCTGTGGAGCGAAATCAGGTAAGATTTGCATCGGACATGGATACTTTAGACTAAATGAAGAGTCCTAGTAACATAGGGTAGTTTGAGAGATGAAAATGAAGTTTGTTAATGGGGTATTTCGACAGATCGATGAGGCGCTGGATCAAGGAGTTGAGGCATTGAGGACACTGGTGCTGGGTGGGTTCAGCCAAAAGATCACAAGATTCAATTTAGGGCAGAAGTACAAGCATCACAAAGTTTGACAATATCCATATCAACCATTTCATCATACTACATTACATGTATGTTACCAAGCCACGGGTGACATGGTTAGTATGTATAAACATTTTTAAGCATCTGTTCATTTTCTTCTCCAGGCAACTCTTCTGAATCTGTGTAATGGAAATAGATAATATATATTCACGCGTTGAAAATATACGGTGTTACAGAAGGGTTTGTCGGAAAAGTGTTAAAGCCATTTAGTAGGAGCCAGCTGATTGACAGACAGCAGACAAAACATTAGCCTTTTTTTACCTAAAACGAGTGGAAAGAATTAGAAAGAGCCTATCCCATAGCTTCTTATCTTCCCCGCCATGTAAGTTCAAATGTGAAGGAAGTAAAACTTTCATGGTAAATAGCAAATATCCATCCATATATCACAGAATTTGATCATTTGTTCTTGGTTAAAATCACATCAAAGTGGTGGTCTAATCTCATAAATGGGAAGATAGAATTTGTTTCGCTTTTTTGCCTCTTTTAGTTAAATCTGATTAATCTAAAAACTGAAAATTTAATTGAATGAGAATTCATTGGAATGATACAAATATTTAAATTTGATAGAAAGAGCTTGATTTTATTTTTTGTTTAATTAATAAATTGGCTCTTAAATAATATTTTATTCACATTTAGGTGCTTAAAAATTTGTTTATAAAAAATTGATTATTAATCTCAATCAATATAAATAAGACATGTGATAGATAACACCATCTCTGACATGACAAGTGTTGTATTGTTTTTATTATTATTATTGGTATTTTGTTTATTAGTCGACTGATTTAAATTAACTTTTATAAAGTATCATTTCAATTTAATACATTATTAACTTATTTTAATATTAAGATTATTTTGATCAAAATAATTAGCATATCTAATCGATTGAATTAGAGGAATAAATTCTTTAAAGCGAAGTGACTCCCCAAGCATTATGAAAAAATTAGGGTCCACTTCCAAATAAGAACGTTGGAAACATGTATAAACCGATATCAATTGAATAATAGTTGAAGCAAAAGACTTGATCCTTCAATTAGACCGTTGCAACTTTTAATGTCAAATCTAAAACAAACAACAGAGATATACATCCCATTAATCTTACTCTTTTCTTCAATCAATTCCCCTTCTCTGCTCATCAGAACAGAGCAGAAAACAAAAGGTGAACCTCAAGTTTCATTAAAAATGGCAGAGACAAGTGAATCTCAGCCAAACCCTGATCTTTTCCCATTCCTTGACCCCATTTCTCTTGTTCTTTCTCAGAATTCAAGCCCCACCAGCCCATTTCCTTTAAGGCTAACAACAGAGAGTTCCGTAATGGAAAGAGGCCCCAGATACAGAGCATACGCAGAGTTGAGAGAAACAAATCTGAGGATGAAGAATGGGGTGATGCAACGAGAAAAGGAAGAAATCGAATTCAAACAAACACCAACGAAGAAGCAAGTGAAGTTCAGTTCGAGTGTGGGGATTTCCAGGAAAGGGTCTGCTTTGGTGGCTCAATCGGTACCCGATTTTTCAGCAACTTTAAGGAAAGAAAATCGAAGACCCCCAGGGATTGAATTGACGCCACCGCCGACGGGCAAGAATTGGTCGAAGGGGAATGAGGCTTGGTCGTCGAATTCGAGGGGGAGTAAATCTGCAAATGCGGGGGAGAAAAAGGGGAGGATGATGATGCTGAAAAAGAGTTGTGCATCTGTTGAGGATTTGAAAGCGATATCATTGGCAGCATCCAATGCTATTAACGGTGAAAACAGGGGAGGGAAGACTAATGGCCGAGGTGTTGCTGGTGCTAGTAATACTATTTTGAGGTATCGACAGTTTTAGATTATTTGGGTAATAAAAAGGGGTTTGAATCTCAGTTTGGTTTCTTGATTGGGTTTTGTTTGTTTTATTTTTTTACAAGGATTTGACTACTTGCTACCACATGGTAGATAGATTTGGAGTTGTATTGTATGTAACGAGAGATTGTTGATCATCCTCTGAATTACTGAGTTGAATTGTTCAATAAACTCAAGATGGAAAATACAGAGACCAAAAGATTGAGTGTGATTCCAAAACAACTATTTGGAAAACAATTTTTCACGATACTAACGATGTTTCATTAATAAAAATAATGGAAGGAATCATAATCATAAAAAAAAAAAATATATGGGATAATAGTCACAGACAAACTCATATACAAATAAAAATTTTAAACTCAAAGATATAAAAAAAAACGAAACATTTCATTGATAATGACATCTAATATAAGAAAAAACTTAGTATCTTTTATAAAAATTTCTTATCTCTATCGAATAAGACGCTTTACGAAATGATAAAGGAGTGGTGGACGAACCAAATTATCTAGCAGGCTGTTTGATTATATCGACAAACAAACTCTTACCAAAGAGGTAATATGACAATAAGTGATCACCAACAAACCAATCAAAAAACAAATATTATGAGGGTCTTTGTGTGAGCACCAAACGATCGTAAAAATATGCAAAAAACATATCAAAAACCATAAGGAACATTCCACAATAGTAGAGAAAAATTGTGTCACAAGAACCAAAAAAAAAAGTATTACAATGACTAGATTCTTATTTAAAATTGAAAAAAAAATGAAAACAAATAAATTAAATAAAAATCAAAAGAAAAAAAAAGCACAACCCAAAAATATTAAAAGTAAATAATTTGAAAAACAAACTTAAAATTATGGTATATTATTTTACTTTACGTGACACAAAATCATGTCAGTCTCACAGTACATGGTAAAACAATCATATCTATATGATTGTATTTGTAACATAATCGTGACATCATAAATTATAACATATAAAATAAAAGATTAAATTATAGTTTTAATCCTTTAAATATGATTTAATCTATAATTAATTATCCCGGTTAAAATTTGGATACTATATTTAAAGAAAACCTTCCAACTCAAAGTTTATGGTAATTGTTTGAATTAAATAATAACATCGTACGAATACTATATTTATTCAACAGTTTATATTAACAAGGATCATTAAGCTTTTCTGTTAAATTTTCCCAAGCAAACTAATCCTTTACAAATCATGTTTTTCATAATTAATTATTTATATTTCGATTCATAATTCTTTTTGAATTGTTTGAGGTAATTACAAAGTAATATTTGTTTAGAAATTTTCTGAACTTTTGAAATTCACACATCTTGCAGATACAACTGTTCGAATCTAAAATTTCTAAAGGGAACAACACTCTTTTTAACCACTAAAACTACTTATGAATTCATTCTACTCGTAATTTTAAATAATCAAAACTTTTATCCATAGAATATCTTAGATTTTTATCTTAATAAATTCAAATAATATACCCTACGCAGTAACATTACAGATTATTAGTGCATAGAACTATAGTCTTTTTTGTTTTTGGTATACGTTGGCATAACCAGACAGCGAGACTCCAACGGCATTGCTTGTCCACAAAATATTTATCATCCTACTTGAAACCAACATCACCCAGACCCAATTTATTTTTATTATGAATTTCAAAGTATCTGAAATGGAAAAAGAAATAGATTTCATGAAATTAGGCAAGAATCTACATTTCATCCATATCTGTTCTCATGCCATTCCATTGGATATGCAAGAACAAATCAAAGAACCCATAAATGCCTCAAAGAAAATGACCAACAGGAAATGAAATAAGTACAACTTTAAAAACAAATGGAATTCCCTACGAGTGAAGGAACTCAAACGTGAACAGCTTAGTGGGAATAAAAGATCACTCTTTTTTTTCTTTAACCGTTAACCGAACCGAACTTTTTTCGAAAATATTAACTGAACCGAATAAATTTCGGTTAATTCGGTTAATTTTCGAATTAACCGAATTTTTTTAAATTTTCTAATTTATATAAAAATTAAATGTTTTTTAATTCAAAAAAAGTTTATAATTAATTTAAATAATATATAATTATAAAATAAAAATTTAAGATAATTTTTTTAATTAATTAATATTGATTTAGGTTTAAAATTTATTTGATGTTAAATTATTAATTGGGTTTTAAATGGTGTGGGCTGAGCCCATATGTTATATATAATATTTTTAATATTTTTAATTAAAAAATGGTTTACAATTAATTTAAATAATATATAATTATAAAATAAAAATTTTATATACATTTTTTAATTAATTAATATTGATTTAGGTTTAAAAGTTATTGGATCTTAAATTATTAATTAGGTTTTAAATGGTTTGGGTTGAACTCATATGTTATATATAATATATTTAATGTTTAAAATTTAATTTCGGTTAATTCGGTTAATTAATTGATTTCGAACCAACTTAACCGTTAACCGAATTCTAAAAATTTTCTTAACCGTTAACCGATCGAATTAACCGAACTAATTTAGTTCGGTCGGTTAACCGAATTAGTTCGATTATTTGAACACCCCTAAATACAATAGTGGATGCCATTTGAGAATGGTAATCGAGTAAGATATATGGCAATCAATCGGTATGTTGGGACATTAAATATTAAGTTGCAACATATTTTGACCCAGCAAAGGTCAGGGCCCTGTATTAAATTATAGTGGAAGCGTGAGCAATGGCAGGTTGTTTCTTTGAGCTCCAAGACAATATGACCAGTAGTAGACGAGTCATCATTGCCGATTCTGCCCCATTTTAACAAATTGGATAAGACCCTTATATCTTTGAGTTACCCTGATTATAGTTTGGTTAATGGGAATAAAAGATCACTCTTTTAGTGGGGATGAAGAGTTGCAATTGGTGAAAGATAGAGGATGATTGTAGAAGGTGTCAGTCCCTTCTCTAGTTTTGATTGAGAGTATTTACAGCAGGCTTTAATGCACATGTTAATAGTAGAATCATCATAGCTATTAATAAGTTATCGAGATAGATTTAATAGTCACACTCTGAATTTCGTTTTGATGTATCCGTCAGAGATATTTTTAAGTCTTGTTTATATATCAGAGTTGATTAATGAAATGATATGGAGAAACTTTTATAGGTTTATCTCCGGAGACATAACAAGTTTATAATTAGTATTTAACTTTTAAGCACCTTGTACATTACCGAATGTTAAAAGATTTGGTGCCTTTCATTCAGTTCTGTTTATGCTTAGCTTTGTTGCATATGGTCTACAAGTGATCCTTGTACATTCTGCATTTCTCACAGAACTTGATGGTTATATGAACCTCTCTTCGTAACTTAATTAGAGGGTCTCATTAAGCTGTCTCCCTCGTGATTTACGTGCCGGGGATTCATTGAAATATGATGAAGTCTCGATTATATTAATTATGCATATTCTGAAATTTAAATGTGGGTGGAGTTGATAAACGGTGCCGCTTAGAAGATTTTGTGTTACTACTGATTTCAGCGATTTACATGGTAGATGATTTGATTAAATTGGCTGATGAGGAAGCTACAATTTCAATTCATTTGACAACTCTGCTTACGATTTCTCTATCTTGATGGCAGCTTCAATATTTATTTTAGATTAACGTGTGTATATTATATTACAATTCCAGAGTAAGAGTCTGTTTATAGATATAAATGAACAAAGAATTTAGTAAAATATTCATATAACGTTTATTTGTTAAGCTAATCAAATAAGTGTGAATAAATTTTTATGTTTATTTAATAAACGAATATAAACAGAAGTGTGTTGAGTTCATTTATGTTCACGAACAAACTCGTTTATAAGCTCATTTGTTGACTCGTTCGTTTATGGTCATGAACAAATTCGTTTAGAAGCTCATTTACTTTTTATTTTTTTTTACATTTTAAATATGAGTGAATGTAGGGATTAAATTATACACGATGAGATTTAAAGTTTAAATTCTAAAGCTTAAGAAGTTTAAGCATTAGTGTCATAATGTTATCACTTTTTAGCTTACAAGTGAACATGTTCAAGAACGCTAAATGAGCATGTTCTCGAACACTAAACGAACGTTAAATACACATGTTCGAGAACATTTAACAAACATAAAAATAATATTTAAAATTTAAACAAACATGAATCATTCATAAACATGTTTAAAAATAAACAAACAAACATTAATATAATCTTATTCGTCAAACTTGATTCATTTATATCCCAAGTCTGTTGCAAAATATTAAAATAACCTAGAAATTTAGCAATGTGACAGTAAACTATCAATATTATACATAAAGGTTCCTACCTATACACCATTATTTAATTACACCTCCCAATTAATTACGTACCATTTTATTTCAGTTTTACAGTCTTTTTAACATCATTAAGCTTTAAAATTTTGAAATCGTCTCCCTACATATCAGATATATATGTAACCATTCTAGGCTACCTTCAACAAAAATGGGATGGTAACTTATTTAAGTAATTGAGGAAATGAAGATTTATGTTAGATCAAAACAAATATATAATTTTATGTTATGATGGATTTATACAATTTTAAAAGTCAATAGAATATATATATATATAATAATTTTAAATTTTAAAAAAAACGATTATTCTACTTATTTTGGGTCTATTTCTGTCTGACGTGGCATCGTCAATTAACTCCTTTATTCAGATCGGATCCAGCTATCATTATGGGAAGAGTTAGCATTTGGGAAGCACGCAAAAAGTTAAAACATTTTAAGAGCTATTGAGTTAATTAATGTTATAATGATAAAAATAGTATCTAACGTTTGACTATATACTCATTTTACTCTCAATTTTTTTAAAGAGTATTTTGACATCTAATGTTTTATTTTGAGACAAAAAACTCATATATAGATGAAAATCGTTAGTCGACGAACAGTTAATACATGAAGCTGACTCAACTTGTACACGTAAACAAAATGCTGATGTGGCATAT